CTAAATTTATTTTTGTTTATTTCAGCATGATTTATTTAAATTAAGAACAGTTATAATAATCAACTGGAAAAGAAGTGAAAAAATCAAGGTGACAGGTGATTATATAAGAGATACGGTTGTAGTACTTTTTATTCTTTGTTTAGAGGTCTGAATAATATGCACAAGAATCAAATACACATGATAAAGATGCAGGTATGCAACAGTATATTGAAGAATAATTGCAGTGAAGTCAAATAGTAAGACCAAATGATTTGTCAACATTTAATTGTAAAACATTCACGATACACATCAAAAGAAATGTTTCATGAACAAATATCATGGTGTATACTAATAGTAGGAGTTAGTATCGATTAAGTTCTAATACATTTTGTTATAAGTTTTTTAGCGAAATAATTCGTAGTATTGAAGAAACAGAGTGAGTAAAACGAAAAACAATCATCTTATAACGAAGAGTAGATGACAGTAACCGATATTCGAACCATACATGAACGTGGTCGTTTTTGTTAAATCTGTACAGTAATAGAAAACGGAAATAAACCTCACTTGGTTTACAATGTGTAGGCGTACAAACTACTTTTTTGAAGATCTTTATCGGTATCGTATTGAGTAAATGTATATTCGTTTATTAAAATGAATTACGCAGTTAGTAGTATTCTAGATTTGATGAGAATACTTTTTGTGAAATATATTACCAACTCTTAGCCGCAAAATTTCATTGATTTTCTCATCAGTTCTGGTATGTTTGACTGTTTAGATCTCGACATCGGGTTCTTTATCCGTATAACAATTTTTAATATTGGTTAAATCAGATCGCAGTGCAGTAATTGTTGATTTAGTTGGAAAAGTTTATAATACGTTTGAATTACTTGCCTATGGCACAATCTTATTATGAAACAAATCATTCAAATTATATTCAATTGAGTGCCGGAGTAAAATGTAAAGTATAACTCTTAATACTGGCATTATTATTGGCTGTTCGATCACGTACAATACCCTATTCGTTCTGTTAAATGAGTTGAAAATAAATAATGTACATGAACTAGAAATTTAATCATCGAAGCAGTTTATGATGATATTCTCGATGATAAATCAGATTAACTAAAAAATCGTTTAGACGTTGAATGTTGTATTTCACGTGATATTGATCCTCATCGAGTATATGATCATCTGATTGAAGTTCTCAATTATCGGTGTTAAAATTGTGCTCACATTTCCATCACATTAAAACAAGAATTAATTCGAACAAATGATAAGATAAAATAGCAACATTAGAACATGAATGATTTGACCAGAAGCATTTTATCAATGATTGCAGCTATTTAATTGTAATAGGTACAAGACGATAGTGTGTCGAGTCGAGAAGTAAATGGAAATAGTAGTCAAAGTACATTATCATCGTTCTCACAACTATTATCAGATGGGACAAGTATTTGTGATAAACACACGAAAAAAAGTGTTCAAAATCCAGCAAAACGTTTATTTCGTTAAATTATTGAAATATTCATATTGCCTTTAGTCCATAACAAATGAGATCATATTTCTATTATGAATGATCTTCTACCAAGCTTTTATCAGTATTCAAAGCACAAAACAAGGATTTTATACAAAAATATATTATTTTATGTTAACATTGAGAAAGAATTGAGAAATGACATAGTTAAATATTTATTCTATTTTTTTTTGTTTCTTCTGCTAATCTGTCTCACCACATAGGTTGATATGTGAGTTAAGATGATTTGGCGACAAAACTATTTACTATGATCTTTTTAATTCGTCATTTCTAAAAAAGTTGACTGAGCTCGATTTAGTCAATAACTAAAGTGTACGTTTTACTAATATTTATATTTTGTTCTTATTGTTATTTATATGTTTTTTATAATCTTTTTTTCTGCAGATTATATCTTCAATTTTTTTACGATAAGAGAAAACGAAAAATATTGGAATGAATATAAGTTCATCAATAACAACAAATGTGAACGCATCCTACGATCATGATTTTTGTTCTGCATGTGGTGCAATTTTTCCTTTGCCTGATGGCAATTCAATTGTACAATGTTTACTATGTAAAAATACACAAGATATAGCGAGTAATAATAACAAACAATATTGATAGATTTTTAGTAATGTTAACTTTGGACGATTTCTAGTATTAAATGGTACACAATTCACTGTTGACGTACAATTTAATCAAGAAATGAAACGACGTGAAATTGAAAAAACAGTTGAAGGAACATTAGTAAGACATATTAACTTTTTCTTTTGAAATTGTATTGATTAATTATTTGTTGTTCTTTTAAAGATTGATCGAAAATGTCCGAAATGTGGCAATGAACAAATGTTCTTTACTACTAGACAGTTGAGAAGTGCTGATGAAGGTAATATTTCATTCATGATTTAATAGATCGATAAATCTCTTTCACCATCTTTTTCTCCATTTACACTAGGTCAAACTGTTTTTTACCGTTGTTCTAATTGTTCGTAAGTAAAATGTCTATTAAGTATTTTAATTCTCATTGCAAATATTTTGTTTTCTATTTTTAGCTTTTTAGAATTGGAAAACTCTTGATATCCGATAATTGTGCTAGTTTCTTACTTTCCAAACTTGTTTTGTTGAAATAAAAATTTAAACAGATCATAGTTATTTTAACACAATGAAGTGAATCTTTTACACCTTATGTGATGCCGTTCTTAACGTAAAATGGAAGAAATATATGTGGAAAAAGTGTGTGATCTTCAATTTTGCTATGGAAAGAAGAATTCATACAATCTCTCCAGTTACATCGGTAGAAACACAAATTAATTATGTATAGTTTTTTTTATGATTAAATTTGATATCTGGAAAGTACTTTACAAAGATTTGTATATTTAGCTGATATAAATTTACTTTTAAATATAACACATACATGTACTAAGTGCTGTATATTGCTACTAAAATTGTTTTCTACTAAATTTAATGAAAAAATACTTTGGAATTGTCGATCAACTATTTTTAACGATATGATAAAGGTTAATAATGTTCATTCAAACGTATTGGGTAGTTTTCGCGGGCTTTTTCGTTAGTTCATACTCACGAGGTTATTACAGTGTCTTTTAGTCCATAAAAATATATTTCCCTATGCAACAGACATCATATAGCAAAAATATCTTGGACACGAATGTAACAAACCACTGTGAATATATATACGACATGGGCAAGTGTAAACGCTGTAACGTTGTTTCTTCACCGATTTTCATTTTTCTCCCAACACTTAGTAACTTAAGTTTTTGCAATTATGTACCGCCAGCCATTCCGTTACTACAATAAAATAATTAGCGTGCAAACTTTCGTTGATTAATTTTTATCAAAAAAATACGGCGCGTAATGCTGTAACATTTTTTTGACCTCTAAAATCACAGATCTCTGTCTGTTACTGCATTTTTTTGACAATGAAATTATTTTTTTAAAAACATGTAAAGAACATTTTAAGCTATATTTTGATAAGAAACAAAAAGTTTCGAAGATAAATTATTTCAGGAAAAAAGTTCATTTTACTCTCATAATCCTGTGGCACACCTTTTTATTTCAATATTCGCTTTTTCATTATGCAAGTATCAGAGTCAATATAATTTATATGAACTTTCATAGTGTGAAAAAGAATCAACTTCTTCGCAAAAGAATTTTAATGGCATTAAAACATCCAAAAGTCAATAAGGAGACTGCAACTTGATCTCTCTTTAAAATCTGTTTCAGATGTCTAATATCCAAAAAAAAATAGTGCAGTTTGTAGATAATTGGATAGATAGGTCAGAAAATTAAAAATTTAAATTTAATTTTTCAGACAGAGAACTTTATTTCCGTGCAATTTAAAGCCAATATTTGTCATCAGCAAAAACACATCACTTGTGTCGCATGTACTTGTATTTTTGAGACAGAATGGGAAAAAAATTTCTGAAAATAAAATTTCAGCATTCAAATAGACAGTTAAGTGTCCAAATCGATTAGCTACAATTTCATATGAATACAATACAATTTGAAAACAATCGATTAGTTATTTCATCAGTTTCTTCGTTATCATCTTAATTTGTTTTTTTTAAAAATCTGAATGATGATAATCAGTGTTGTAAACATTACACATTTGAGTTACATTTGCCATCAATCAAGTCGAGACGGTATCTAATGTTTATGTAAATATAAAATTTTAATCATGCAAAATCTATGCATGGCACATTTACTTTTTTCTTGAACCTTTGCATAAAGAGATTTATTATCCTCCACTATGTTCAGTTTAGTTGTTGTTGAAGCCTCGAGACCAGGCACACGCAGTAAATCACATTTTTTCCTTTTTGTTCTTTTTTTCTTTCTTTCTTCATCGAAAAATTATACCCTACAGACTTCTCTTATATATCTTTATGTATATATATAAGCCTATTTTTAGACGAACGCAACTATGAGAAAAACCCATAACATAAATACCCACTAACTTTTGAATAAAACGATGTCTTCATTTTGAAGTAATGGCTATCATAAATTTTAACGATAAACTCAAATTGCGCGTTACTACTGTAAGTTAACCTGTCCCCATAGTTCTTAGTACTATACTTGCTGAAGTGTTCAGTGTTAGATTATATAGTAGTTCTTAAAGGAAAAACTGAATTTGATGATCATGTTCCAGTATCTGTTTACTTAAGTTCACTGAGAGTTTCAGAGGGCTAAAACTAAAAGTATGCAAAAAATATTTGAAATGTTTAATAAGTTAAGTGTTTCTTGCTGTGATAGTCAGACTGTTATTAATATCTAATAGATCTTTGTTAGAACAATACTTTGAGCAGCAACTTTAATTTTCATTTTAGATCTAATTAACTTTTCTAAACTTTTCTTGGTCTCTATTCTTCAAATTAAAAAAAAGGTTTTACTACTTACTTTAGAACAAGAATCTAGACAAAACGAGAAAACATTGTGATAACTTTTTTAGCCATTATTTATAACATTGTAGTTTATTAATTGTTGGTGGTGAAAGAAAATGTCGGCATGGAAGAGACAAGGTGAGTATTTTGTTGACCTGCACGAAGTTTTCTAGAGGTATATCTTATATAAATGTTTTCATTCTTACTTTTTAGCACGAGCAGATAAACCAACTGTACCCCCCCCTGTTACTAATAACATTCCTAAGACTGCTGAAGATTTAAATTTACGTTCTCAGTCAGCATTTCCTTCGCTGGCTGCAAGCGTTGAAAAAATATCAATCTCCGATAATGGAAGCGAGAAATCGACAGCAAGATCATTTAGTCTTCGACCATCGGTTCGTCCAGTTCTACGTTCAGCAGTACCTGAAACTCACAATTTGAATCCAATCGTACGTCCAGACAACTTTGGACAAGGTAATTTCATTCACAATGCAGGTCATTGTCAAATATATTCTATACTTTCCTCTTTTCTAGTTGGTCAACCAATTCAGATTTACACAAACCATTTCAAATTGAATGTTGACAGCGAAGCGAAGGTTAATCATTACGATATCGATATAGGTATGATCGGTCGTGATAAGAAACTTCGTTTGGCAAGAAAAGACGAACGATGGGAAACTCTGCAGCGATTGGCGAAACGTGAAAATTTCCCAGTAATATGGTATGATGAAGGAAAAAATATTTATACTAAAGCCAATTTAGCCCATTTCACAAAACCATTACAAATTACGTTTAAAATGAATAATGAAGATAAAACATTCCAGTTGACCATCAACAATCTTGTTCGCCAAGAAAAAATGCGAGATATTTTCGATTTTATTCAAAAAAAGATCACTACGCGTCCACATGACCCTATGCGTATTATCGAAACGTTATTTAAACAACGATCAAGAAATGATATGGTGTGTGTCAAAAATCAATTTTATGATAAAAGTCAACGTTTAGATGATTTAGGTAAGAGAAAGAAAACGTTTCAAAACCAACAATTTTGCTTTATGTGCATGTTACAAGTATAGCTCAGACATCTGAAACTATTTTAAAACTAGCCGAGACGTAATTAAAATTTACCATAGAGCTAGTACGATTTGAAATTGCAGGGTAGAACTTGGTTTTTCAATAAATGTAAGATCACTGAGGAAAATTTTCACTCCAGATCAACCGAAGGGCATTGTAGGACACCTTAGTTAGTCGTCTAACACTATTAAATTCACAGTAATAGCAAATAGACTTGTGACATGTGATTCTAAGCTAGAATAGTGCGAAATAATATAAATATTTTACAGATCTATTTTCCTTGTCTCACGGCCGAATCTTCGTAGCTTTTATCGAAGATCTCAGAAAAAATAGCTAGTATTCGTCTTTTTCTCCAATAATCTATGTTATTTTACTATAATATAGACTTGCTTAATATTTTCTTATATTTTCCATACACGATGTCTACGAAGTGCATGATATCTTCTTTTGCATATAGTCTAGTCACAGTTTGAATTATTGATTGTTTTGAAATAATATTGTATTTTTCTTGACGTTGACAACTTCTAATCACGATTATGAGATTCTTTACTCTTCATGTTTGCTTTTTTATCAGATAGACGCAACAAGTTATATCCAATTTTAATCCCTAAAATTAGAAAATTCTTATCAGCTGTTAGTCACTAGACAAAGCAGCTTTATGTACAGACACAATCGTTCAAAAAACCTCTCTTCATTTCCCATCTTCACAATGAATCCTTGACACTTTTAGAAATTATCTTTAACTTTCTTTATTTCAAGGTGATGGAAGAGGAATGGCCAATGGATTCTACCAGGCATTATGTCTGACTCAATGTGGTCCAACACTTGTCAGTAGAACTATAAACTCGTTTAATAGAACTTATTATTCGTTCTTTTTCCTGCTTTAGAATATCAATTTGACGTTCACTTGTTTTTATATGCCATTGAATTTCGTCGAATTTGCATCGAAATATCTTCGTAAAGATATTAGAGATGGTATGAAAGACTACGAAATAGATGGATTGAAAAAAATTGTGAAAAATTTATTAGGTAAGGATCTACTGTTGTATTTGTTTTCGACAAATGTAAAAGAACATTCTCTTTAATAGTCGAAACCAATCATACTGGACGCGATATTCGATATCGCATTCGGGGATTTGGTTTATCACCGGCGAAAATCAAATTTACTCGTAATACTGGTGAGAATACAAATGGTGATCAAGTCGAAGTTGGGGAGGAAGTATCCGTAGCTGATTTTTTTGCTGAAAAATATCATCGATTAAAATATCCCAATTTACCGTGTATCGATGGTACGTTTTCAAAGAAGAAAAAGTTTTGAGCCTTAATTCGAATTTATTTTTGTTTTCAGGCATGTCGGGCGGTAATAAAAAAGCTAACTGGTTGCCAATGGAAATGTGCAAAGTAATTCGGTTATTGATAGTATAATATGACTTTTGTTAACCTCTGAATATTTTAGGTGGTCGAATGGGAACGATGTTTAAAACCACTTGACTCCGTACAACGTGCTCTCGTAACCAAAAAATCTGTAATTAAACCAGGTAATTTTGTGAACTGTTTTTGATAAGTTCTCTAACGTTATTTTTTATAGTCGACCGATATGCTCGAATTATGCAGATTGTGGATAAACGTAGTTTTGCAACTGATCCTTATTTAAAAGAATTAGATATTAAAGTGGAAACGGGCGAAATGTTAAAAGTAAATGCGCGTATTTTACCACCACCAGAAGTGAAATATCGACAAGACGCTGTCGAACGTGTTCAGTTTGGCAAATGGACAATAAGAAAACAATTTTTTACAACCAAAGATATCAAGACTTGGGCAATATGCTATTTTGCTCCAGATAGACCAAATGAGGGTGTCATTGGTGTATTAAAAGAATTTCAAGTTCGATTACCACAGGTATATATTCTTACAACGTTTAGCATTTATTTTTTGTAAGACAAAAGGACTAAGTTGTGGTACAAATAGTCAGAAATTTACATTGTACTTTGGTCGATTAAATATGTAATATTTTTGTTTCACTATTGTACTAGCTTCTTGGTCGTTATGGAATTCGTTTACTAAGTAACCCAGTACAGAAATCCAATCCAGCTAATCCACAAGGTATAAAAGAGGTTTTAATCGAAGCTCAACGAAATAGATGGGAATTAACAATAGTTGTTTTAAATAATACAAAAGAAGAAGTGTATGATTATGTAAAACAACTTGGAAATCAACGATTAGGTAAGAATATAATGAATTTTTATTAAGATTGAGTTTGATAAATGGGAACTCTTTTATCACATTATTTCAATTTAAGGAGTGATCACACAATGTGTTTCGTTTCAAGCACTTGAACGTAATTGTGGTAAACTCGATATGTATGTTCAGAATTTATCTCAAAAAATCAATGCCAAATTGGGATGTATTAATGGTGTTGTCAATTTAAAAAGTGCACTATCACGTCCACAAAATGATGACTTATTTATGTTTATGGGAGCTGATCTGACTCATACAACATCCAGCACTGATAGACCGTCAATTGCAGCTGTTGTTGGAAGTCGTGATGCAACTGGTTCATTGTATGCTGCTCGTAAGTCGTCTTTGATGTATATTACATTAACACAGAATGGCTATAATTTCTCTAATCGTTCAGGTTTATGTGAACAATTTCCAAAAGCAGGTCGTTGTTCAGTAGAAATTATCAAAGAATTGGATACAATTGCAACAGAATTACTTCATGTATTTCAACAACAATCTGGCGGTCGTTTGCCAACAAAAATTGTTTTTTATCGAGATGGTGTGGATGATGGAGCTTTTCAGAAAGTACTCGATAATGAAGTAAAACAGCTAAAAGCTGCTTGTAAAAGTAAGTGTGTGCGTATGTATGCTTATAATGATTTACTTCTTTCTATCTATCTTTTTAGCTGTTTTCGGAGCAAAAGCACAACCAAAGATTTGTTTTATCGTTGTTAAAAAAAGACATAATACTCGATTTTTTGTTTATGATGGTAGAGAAACAAAAAATGTTGAGGCTGGTGAGTTAAGCATATCGTTTTCTTATTGATTATTTAACCAATTTTTTTTAAATTTCTTGTAGGAACAGTTATTGATTCGATGATTACTCATCCATCACAGTTCGATTTCTATTTAAATTCACATGCTGCTATTATGGGTACTTCACGACCCGCGTTATATCACGTTTTACATGATGAAATTGGTTTTACGTCAGATGAAATACAACAGTTGACATATTATCTATGTCATACTGATGCACGCTGTTCAAAAGCTGTTTCAATACCAGGTAAAACATGTACATGTTCTACGTTTTCTTTTCTAACTTGAATTTTTTTTAAGCGCCTGTTCATTATGCTCATCTTGCTGCAAAACAATCACGTTCATTTGATTATGAAGATAATCGAGATCCAAGGTAAAAAATTGCAATTAAAATATAAATTTTATGAGACTGATGAAATTAGTTTCCAGTAAAAAAAGTATTTTCGGTCGAAAGTAAAGAGAAATAAAGTTATTGTATTTCTAATGCATTTTTCATGAGTGTATCGTATATGGAGCTTCATTTAGAGTTCGTATTTGATTTATATCATATATCAAGCAGGCAAAGCTTAGAAAGAAATTTTTTGTTTTTGTTTTAGTGAAGAATTCGTTGAAAATACTGAGGAAATCTCAATGGAAGACATACGAACAAAACTGATGGTACTTGATCCGAAGATACAAAATGATATGTGGTTTGTTTAAAACACTTTATGAACCAAATACACATATTTAGAATATCAAATATCTCTCTCTGCTCATCAAACGATGAAAATTGTTAAGAAGTAGATTATTTTTCTTTTGCATCATTTTATTTATCAAGTTTATTCGGTGAACATTTATTCTTCTTTCTCTGCAGCTGTGATTATGAATGCCCAAATTGAAAATAAGTTTTTTCAATTCTTTCTTATTTCCTTCTTCAGATGTACGATGGGCGTACAGATTTAGTTTTTTCTTATTTTCTTATTTACGTTTTTGTGGCATTTATCGCTGTTGATTTTTGCATGTACAAAGACAAGACTATTTTCTTTCTGTTTTCTCTTTTCAGTAAAGAGCTTTAAGTTCTTGGAGTCTGTTTTGTTCTATTAAATGTGTTATATTCCATGTTTTTTGTTTTCTACTTTCTAAAAAAAATTTTTTATAGTTTTTTTTATGCAGATTACTATTTGTTGACGTAATTCAACAGATATATGAAATAGAAAGCATCTGTATATGCATAAAAACACACCAAGGTTCAATGTTTGTATTTTTGTTATATTATCTTTTTTGCCTTCATGTGTATATGAAATCATACCATCTTATATAAACAAAGAAATAAATACAGTAGTGTTATCATGTAAACATCGTGAAGCGAATATTATGAGATATACGAAAGTTTGATCAAGTGAAACAGATAGGAAATAGAAAATCGAACTCTAAACACAATAAAAACTTGCTTTATGACTAATGCATTTCAATGACGCGACTCATCTTAATCTAAAAATAATTAAGATAATTCTAAAGGAAAAAAAATCCAATATTATCCCATGCAGACGAGAAAAGTAGTTCGAGGGAGGCGGCGCGTACTCGAAAATGGACCTGTGCCGAGGGTTCGATCTGTCGAAAGCTGAGACTTCGAATCCTCGATATAAGCTGTCGAGGGGTTATCAATTCGAACCGTCGAACAGGACGCGACAAGGGCTTGAAATTAATAACCCTCGAACGCTTATATCGAGGATCTGAGGTATCATTTTTCGAGGGGTCAAGCTCTTGGCGAAGGCCCATCGAAAGCGGATACCTCTCGAACAAGTGGTTAGATTGTTACCGATCGAGTTTTAAGTAACAGCATATTGTGTATCGTCTCCGATAATCAGTAACTAAACAAGCTGCAAAGTGCATATTACACTATGTAATATCGAGATCCTTAACAAGTTTGTTTAAGAAATTGAATACGAGTTCAAATTTAAAAAACTTTATATATGTTGAAAAGAGTTCAACAAATTAAACCAGTGCTATATTCACTGAGCGATAAGATTTCACATTTCTGCTCGATTAAATCTTGTATTACATTGAAATGATCCACGTACACTAGCAAGTAACGTTTGTCTTGCGACGCACTAGTTCCATGACCGATGGAGCACGGTGGACATCGAGAAGGATATTTAGGAAAAAGTCGAAAGTACGCTTTTTCTAGATTTCCATAGTGTTCTATATACTTTGATTAATGGCCTATTTAATTGTGTAAAAATTTTCGTTCCATGTGCGCACTTACTAGGAAATCTAAGATCGAAAGTAGCCTGTGTTTTAACCCCATCTTCAAAAAATCAATTCTTTTGTTCGAATCAATAGATGCAAATTCGCTTATTTGACATATTCCTGATAAAAAAACTGCGAGCTATCTTTAAAAAAATTTTCAACTTTGACCGAAAGAAACTATAATAATAGAGATTTATTTTTAAAGCCAATCTGAATAAAGTTCACATTTTTTATCGCGGATTAATAATTTCTCATATCGATCAATAGCAACTGGAAATAGTATACGTTAATGTATGCTAGAAAAGGACTTTTTAAATGATAAATTTGTATAGCACTTGCTGCACCAAATTCTGTATTGGATGAATCATCATCTGAACATTCTGAACTATTTTCATCATTAAACATTATTAAACAATCATCTATTTCAAATTCGGTCCATTGATCTTGCTTATAATCATCAGCAACTATGATTGTTGGTATAAATTTTACACATTATATCATAATCAATGTGAGAAAAAGATATACATTGGAACAATTGAGATCATCACCTGGAAATTCTTGGTGCCATTTGCACCTGTATGAATCTGCTGTACTAGTACACGCGTTATAACCATGACAATAATTAAAGTATAGTAAACATTTATTAATACCTGCACTCTTGGATATTATAGTGATATTTTTATTACACATATTTATATTGGACAAAACAGTATTACACCTTTTGAATTAAATAGTCAATTAATATTCGCACAAGTGAGTGGTTGTAACATGCACAATTGAGCACATGAAATAGTGAAGTTTAACCTGATACAGCCATAAATAGATGGGGTCCGCTAATTTAAATGTATATCACACAGTGGGCAAAGGTTAAGACTTGAAATCGGTCCACTAACTTTAACCGTTCCAATCGGTAAAAATTCATCAGCATCACATCCGATCATCATATTCGATGATTTCGACCCTTCCGAGCGCTTTCAGTCGAATATACCCGACAGAACCTATTCACAGCCAAGAAACCATTTATCACCAACAGTACGACTGAAAAATCAAAATTTTTCACTAATCATCGAAAATTAAGCCTAGTGCAATACATCATTCGATGCGCCTTGAAAAGCTCTACAACATGTGTTAATAGGAAATTTAACGAAGCTTGGCAGCGTTTTTTTAGTATTAAATACTGGCCGCTCAAACCTAGAATAGCTCCAAAAACCGTTCGCCACCACTATTTTTCATTTTTCTCTTCGACCATAATAGCTAGAACAGATTTGAAAAATTATCTGAACAGCTGAAATTGAACAGCAGGATTTTGAACAGCAGAATTTTCGATCTGAGATGCGATATAAAAAGGTTCTTTCAAAACTTTTGAAACGAAAGTCACTGGACAACCAAATCTCAGGAAACCAAGTCGCCGAATTCAATCTAGAAACTCTTCGCAAATAGCTTTATCGTGTAGAGCAAGGATTTCTGAAGAAAATGAGACGTCTCCGAGCTCTTTACGACAGTTTTTCATGAAACAGCATTGAATTTACGCAAGACCCTAATCGCGTATCTTATTGTTTTCCTGTTAGATTTGCTGGTAGGAGACCTTCCGTAAATTGAGTGCTGTTTCATGAAAAACTGTCGTAAAGAGCTCGGAGACGTCTTATTTTCTTCAGAAATACTTGCTCTACACGATGAAGTTATTTGCGAAGAGTTTCTAGATTGAATTCGGCGACTTGGTTTTCTGAGATTTTGGTTGTCCAGTGACCTTCGTTTCAAGAGCTTTGAAAGAACCTTTTTATATCGCATCTCAGATCGAAAATTCTTTCAGCTGTTCAGATAATTTTTCAGATCTGTTCTAGCTATTATGGAAAATCCTATGATCCAGTCCAAACTCGTTTGGGCTATTTTGGACTAACATCATATACGTACTATTAGGAGATGAACATTTTGTAAAAATTTCATTGAATTCGGAGCTTGGGAAAAAATGGGAAGCTCATTATACTTCACATGTCTCTTCAGAAAACGCTTAACGTAGATAACAAAATTATTTTCTCTCTACCGAAGTATCCAAACAAAATTTTTTTAATGAACCAATAGGCCGAGTGGTCTACTTTTAGAATATGTATGATTTTCCAAAAAACATTTTCTAGTTTCGAATATAAAGCTTTCTATTCTTGCATTTTCGGTAAAATTTTCACTACACGTTTTCCGACTAACTGTGGCATCTGGAACAAAAATTTTAATACCATTAAATAGCCCATATTTCAAAGTATATTTGCCACTATTTGAATCTATAAAAAGCGCACTTTTATTTTCTCAACTAATATCTACGTGATTGTTCACCGTGTCTCATGGTTCGCATAAAGTAGTAATGTTGAATGAGAACGATATCAACGTGGTACTGATGTATGGCAACAGTATAGAGTTCATCTTAAAAGCATATAATAATAGCGTAGTGGAGAGGATGTTGTACAACAACAAATGTTATACTATAGGGAAATACTGTTAAGATAAATTCAATTAATCATAAAACTACTTTAACTTATTAAATGTGATATTTTGCTCTAACACACTTTGATAAAACATAAAACTGCCTGAGCAAGAATATTGTACATATAACAACAATCGCCTTTCATAATTGCACTATTTGTACGGATTGAGTGATTGATTCTATTCTTTAGTCATTCTTCAAGTAAGCATGCACGAAAACATGAACTGTATAGACTAGACGCGTAATGTACTCTGAAAACTTTCTTTAAGAGAAAAAAGTTTTCAGCTAAAGCACAACTGATCTTATAGAAAACGAGAAAGAGAACGTTAAAGTATTACGTTACATATAGAATACAAATAACCAAAAAACATAGTCAACTACACTTCTACACTTGCCGTAAGTCTTATCTTTTGTAGCAGGTATTACTGCCTTTGTCGTCATATCATTAGGTTTAACTAGCGTTTCTTCAAGTTCCGGTGTTGCATTAACATAAGCTAGTCTCCCTTCGTAACAGCCATGCTTGCAAAAATAAAATAAAATAAAATAAAATTCAAATTCAATGATAATACAAGTTCATTAAATACATTGAGATGCCAATCGTTTTAACAAGAGATAATGGCAGGACTTTTTTCTAATGACATTTGTAAATTTATACAGCACCAATCGACGATGAATCAGTAGATTCGATCAGTAGATTCGATTAAATAAATAAATTTAATTAATTTAATTATTGTTGCTGTATAAATTTACAAATACTCGTTTTCATTTGACTTTTGGTTTATGTCGATGATCGTTATGTGAATGATTCTTCTATTTGATTTAAATTTAAAATAAATATTTTCATATATTTCTTAGAATGGAAAATACAGGTTCTTTTTGAAGTTGAATTACTGATATGTGCTGCTACTTGTTTCAAATATCATCTACTTCGACTGTTATATTTATTTTTCAGCTTATAATCCGTCACTTCTTCTCAATTAATTAATAGAAAAATCAACTTATTATTCGCCTTTGTTAATAGAACAGTGAAGTAGGTGACTCATTATTGAATATAATAATAATATTTTCACATTTTTTAACTCAATACTATTGGAAAGATTCTTGACTAGATGACCATTGCTACAGCTGAGAGAGATATTTACTTCTATGTACGTCCGTGGGAGGGACAGGATATGTTTTTGAAAAAATTGCAATTTTATGGTTCATAAGACAAAATACAATTATTAAAAATGTATTGTACTATCAAACTGATGATATGATGAACACGACTCGATAAAGGTTTGTATATGTGTATACACTTGCGATATCATCTATTATATTCCATATAATAATTACTTTTTTTTAAATTAAACTTCAATAAAAATTTAAAAAAAACTGAGTCAGTTAATGTGAATATATTGAACAATGGACTTTTTGTTCTTTTCACTATCACTCAACAATTGAAAACATTTATATTTAATCATTTTTTTTCATATTCAATTTTATTGATATTTTCAAGTTCACTGAGGGAGAGAAATCCTAATTTGATATTTTTAAGACAATATGTCCATTTCTTTTTGGATCAAAAGAGAAACTACCATTTTTTTGAACATAATTACAGCATCAACTAACTTGCTCAAGGCGTCTTTTAATCTACTTTTTGTTTTCATTATACTGCAACTATCGTTCTTATTTTCAGTTTTTTTTCTATAAAAGGAATGTAGAAAATGTAGAATATATAAAAATTCTATCAGAGAAGATGTTTTATCTTAAATATCAACAGATGGTGGTAGACATTTGCTCAATGTTGTTAATATTTTTCTATCGGACAACTGAATTCGTGTAATATGTTGAAAATGACACGGATTACTAATCGATGATTTACTAACACGTTTATTAAGAACGGCACCGCACGATGCACTACGATTATTACGGTCAATGGTTAAATAACGATTTCGAGATTGAGATGACAATTTTTTAACGTGTGATTGAAATAGATCCATGTGTTGTTGATCATTTTTCAATTGTAAATAATAATTAAAAAATTTTTTTGACTGTTGTAAATCGGTAAAGCGTAAAACAGCTAATGTTTTTTGATCTGATAAACGAAATGTTATATGTTGATCGCGAGCATATTTTACGTCACTTTTATAGGTAATAATATCTTGCCATATGGGAAAACCAGAACCTTTTTCAGTTAATACAATTGATAAACATTTCATTCGTTTTGGATTAATGCCCGTATTAAAGAGCCATATTGGCAGTCCACGTTGAAAAAATATCCAATCTTCTAATTTTGATAAACGTTCAGATGTTGTTATAAATAATTCAACAATACATTTACAAGAGAAAACTTTTGAACCAATTGACTTATATGATGATTCGATCGTACAAACATCTTGATCATTGACCACTAAATTATTATCGTCTGTTTTGATCGTTTGTGTTAATTGTTTTGAATAATGATGTTGAAGAATCTTCGAGCTATTATTATTTAAAATATTAGCAGGATGATAAGCAATAGTCTTTTTCAACGAATGGTCGTCTACTAACGATTTGCGAGTGACTAAAAATAAGTATCAAATCAAAAACAAAATTTTTTATAGAACCTTTTCATTTAAGACGTTCAATAGACAAGCGTTCAAATTAAATGGTCGGATAAGAGTATCACATCAGTCATCCCAATATCTTTGGCTAATTTTTCACTACAAATACTCTAAAAAATAATCTATCTTAAAATAAAACGGTACAAGTTCGTTCTCGATTAGTCGGATATATCCGTCTTTTTTTAAGAGTGAATCAATTTATCTATCTTATTTCTATCAACGGTTTATTTTCAAGAATAATTCTGTTGTACAGGATCGGGAGAGTACCACGAGGAATAATCATATAAATGGTTTTAGTAAAAAACCAAAATAAATTAACAAGTTCTTTCGAATAAATCTATGTTCTTTACAAACAAGTGATGAACACAAAACAAAAGAGATGAATGATTATCTTCGTCAATTATAGAAGTAAGACGACAGAACGACCTGCGGAAACAAACGTCTCAAAATAAGATGAATGCAATAGTAAGACGGATAGTATAGGTCAGATTTTTTTTCAAGAGTGAAACGTTTTTTGCATTTGTAAGCTGATTATTGAATTATAGAGGCTCGTTACTTTAGATTAGGTCACTCGACATTTAGACTGTAATGAAAAGAGAGTTTCCGATAGAAATTTCGAAAGTTTTTCGCAAAAATTTTCTATTCTGCGAAGTCTAATAAAATTGAATAGAAGTCTGCCAACAGTTAAATATTCATCTCTCTATTTTCTTTGATAAAAATGACAGCTTACTTGTTGAACTTTGTTCATCATCATTATTATTCGTTGATCGTAATCTTTCACAGCTTTTAGCTCGATTGGAAGACATCGATTTAGTTTTTGTCTCTAATAGATCAGTAAAACGTTTTTCAATTGTTTCCAATTCTTCACAGCTTAACCAACACTCTTTTTTTTGCTGTTGTTTCATTGTTTCCATTGATAAATTCATCATTATTGATGGTTTGAAGGATAAACAGTCAAATCGACTAATCGGTTGAATCTGTGCAGTTGATGGTCGCGGTGGTGGATTTATTCTAAATATTACTCGTGGTGCTGGTGGTGGTGGTGGATTCAAAGATTGCGTTGATTGATAATCATCTTTTACTTTGTTATTGTCAATGATAGATGATGGTGTGACTATTTTGTAATTTTCTTCAACATTAAACATATCAAATGTAGTTGATTTTGGTATAGAACGATGAGAAACGTTTGCTGTTGAAGGAAATGCTGGTTTTGTCTTGGTTGATAAAAATGTTGTTATTCTATCATGATTATTATTTGATGTTGATGATATATTCGAAGAAGATGATGCGGATGAGGATGATGTGGATGATTCGATGGAATATCTATTGAGCTTATTTTTAGTAGTAATGGTGGCTGTTGGCATTCTTTTCTTTTCTCTATTTTATGGTGAATTGATGAAATAGTTGATTAAGATAAAAAATAATAATTAATTCCAAAAATTAGACATGATAATGAAAACTATTTTTTATACGCTTTTTTCACTCACTTATTTTGACAAACGTATTAGTAATGAACATAGTGTGTGTGTGTGTGTGTGTGTGTGTGTGTGTATGTATATGAAGTAACTGATGTTTATTTGGATCAAGTAAAGAGAATAAGCTGAAAGTGTAATCTACAAGTGTGTACATATATATTGTGACTTCGTTTCGTTTCTCTTGTATAATGATGAATGTTTGTTCAATTGGAAAAACTCGTTTTTTCTTTTCTTTTCGTTCTTCTTTTTCTTGCTCATTTATTTTAATAATATAACTATAGGTATAATATGTTGTTGTTTTTTGAGACGATAATAATAGAACAAGACGACGATGAACTAAAAGAAATTTAATAGTAACTAACATGTATGATGTGGAAAGAAAGGGATGTTATTAAAAATTAAAACATCTCTACTATCTAATCGCTTAAAATTTGGACAATACGTTTTATTTTCTATCACATACTTCGGAAAAACGACTTGACCTTGTAGATCTGATTTAGTATTTGCTCTATCTAACTGTAATGTAGGTAGTTGTACATCTTACATCGAAGAAGCCTGTTTGAATATTTTTAAATGTTTCTTTTGTTTCACTTGTTGACGAAGATGTTCAGTGAGTTAATTGCACGTTTTTGTATAAGAAGGCGTTTTTCTTTTTATGTCAATAATTACTTATATGTGTATCTGTTTCAGGAAACTCGTACACGTTCAACTGTGCGTTTCATATAGGTAAATAGAGTAAAACGATATTTATCTATTAAAAATAGGATATGGGATGGATTAAGTTCTTTTTCTTTCTCTCTTTCTTTTGCTCAAAAAATGGGTCACTATCAATCACAATAAACGTATCTCTAACTATCGAGAGACAAACTGTGTTAAATACTACATGAAATAGTTTATTAACATAAAATAATCATCACAGACGATTGTGACATGTATGACGATTATCTGATATATTAGTTTTATCATGTCAAATTCATTTTTCAAGTTCAACAATACAACAAACACATTTTTTCACAACTAAACGATTATTGAACAAGTCTAATATAACTTCAAAAGTAGAAATTTTCATACAGACTCCCCTCCTTTAGACACAATACAAACCATTCGAATACAATTTAAAATTAGTTGATGTCTTTTTCGTTAGCAACACATAAGTGTATCAATTAAGATAGATTATGCACTACAACTTTCACATTATCTAAAATATAATGTGTTTTAAATATCCATACAGTAAGAGTGTATGTGCATCGAAGTATTTTTCAATATTTAATTAACTGTTTAATGGTAGTCGTATATTACTTATCAAACCAATTATGTCATCAGTGCATGTTCTCAACACATTGATTCTCCAAAGTATATTTCGGTTATAACACATGACGTAGAGAAAACGGGACACGCTTGTTTTCTTCCTCTTTAGATACTAAAGTAAAATTTAAAAACTCTGCTGTTAGTTTTCTTTCTACTATTTTCAAATTTGACAGTTACTGAAAAAATTTTACTAACTTTTCCACTCAATCCTTATATTCCTGTAAATTACAATTTTACTTTTTATCCGCCTTTGATCTACATTATTTTTTCAAATAATAAAACAGTATGAAAACATTACAATTAAACGATTACATTAATACATTACTTAACAGTTCAGCTGATATGCATATGTTCAAAATTTTTCATCATATTAAGACGACAAATTTATTATTACATAGAGTTTTTGTCTTTTCTGTCTTTCTTGTTTTGTTTTTCTTAGTCAATTCATTAGCATTTTGCCGCACATACACACACACACATACATTTATTGATTAATGAAATATATTCCTTTTACGTACATATGAGAGTATGTCTAGTTACAGAAAAAAGAAAAACAATAGTATATTGCCGCAAAACTTTTTTTTCATTCACACAAGATTCAACGTCTTTTCATACGTTTTTAAACGAGCACTGAATTTTTTTTTACAATACCCAATAGGTAACGATACTAAGAGAAAGAGATTTACAATGACATCATTTCATTCATGCTTATAGATCAACTGAGACGTACGAACAGAAAAATTAATAAACTTAATCATTATCTTGAGCACTAAAACAATATGCGAATGATTCAAAACTCTTTTTAGGACCTTTTTCCAAGTCTTTAAACGTGAATAACTCGTTCAACTATTCGGAAAACTAACGTACGCGTCTGCTCTGTGATAAGTATCAATTTGTTTTTCCAAAAAATCTTCACTAATCGATGTTCGATAAATATCAACAACAGTAATGGATGTACAGAAGGCAGTTGATCCTTTCTCAAAAATTTCTACAAATTATCTAAAGTGTTTCTATCTAATCACCTCTTTAAAAAAGTGATGAGTAAAACACAACATTTTTTTAAACGGCATTTCATAACTATCCGCTTTTTTTTCAAAAATGTCCTCCCGCAAAAAAAATCCTGCATTTGTCATTAATTACTGAATAAAATTTGTTGAGTCTACAACTTGATGCATCGTTAAACATGTGTTTATTATGGTCATTTATCGGCATATTTGTCTCCATCTATGGCTATGACACGATCTACTATTTCACTTCTTATCCAATACATAAATATGAACTTTAAAAACTACATAATAGTATTTTCATCTCTATCCGTATCAGATGTTTATTTCTAGATGCTCACGTATATTTTATACAACCAAGATGTTGAGATTTAGTATTTAAAATATTATAATGTTACATAACTGAAGACATGCAGTTTAGATTAAAAATCGTTTTTTAATATATATTAAACTTTTCTTCCTCAGAGGAATTAAATCATATATATCTGTTTAATTAAATACTCTCACATTCAAGCTAAGAACATAAAATAAAATTATTGAATATAAATAGGACTATGAAATTGGTCACTATATTTTATACATTTCAACACACACGAAAGATTTTATACAATGACCTTTCTATTGACACAAGAGACTAAAAGTGTATGACAAGTAACACGTCCTCTATTGTCAAGTTTAAAAATACGATCATAATGTAAAAATACGTAATGATAGTATAATTCATTCAATGTTGAAAAACGTCGACGATACAAAAGAATTTTTACTCGAAAGTAAACCAAAAGACAAACAGTGTTGCATAAAAAAATACGAAAACAATTTTATTTGGAGACAATCAAGCATATGAGTTACACTTAGCATATTATTTAAACAATTTTTTGAATATGATATCAGTTTCATACTAGTATTTTAAATACTTTAAAAGCTTTTAAATCACTTTGCTTCAATATTGTCAATCTCCTTTCATATTGGAATAAATCGTGTGGGCTACAACGTTGATTAGGATAAGACGAATATTCAAATTGTAAATTATTCGTATTTGTTAAAGAAAAATTACTTTCATCTAATGGCCAATTACTAAAAATTTAGAAAAAAATGTAAAAATGTTCTTAATTGCTTTATCTTTAGTATATTTCTTACACATTTCTGGTCTGTTCGTATGCGGATAGAGGATGATCCGACGATCCTCGACGACGTCTTATTAATCGTGATTTCGATTCATCTATGAAATTCATGCCAGATATAGCATCATGCTGTTCACTATCATCACGAACTGATAAAACTAAAACCCAGATTTTGATCAACAGACATGCCATATGGCACCTGCCATTTCAAGGTGTTTAAATTGTTTATAAACGTAGAAGTCAGTTAGGAGAGAAATAAAATGATACTGCATGTGCGCTTTTGATCTCGTAACCAAAACAGAAAAGTAATAGACATTTTTCTCATGGAAATAGGCGTTAATTCTTCAGACAGACGAAAACCTATATCTCAATAGAAGATCATCCAAGAGATCATGATTTGGCGAGACACATTGGATGCCCATTGGTCTTCTGTTCTGAGGAGAGAGGGGCGTTAGTTAATAAACTAAATACCTGTTCGTGTTTTTCCTTCTTCATGTTGTTTTGGTGTTAAACATGTTGGTGGAACTATCACCCTAGCTAACATAAACGGATGAGAAACATGAGGAACATGAGGAAGATTTAAGTAAAAGAAATTTCTACATACTCGTACAAAACAATTGTTTCCAAAACTTTTTCTTCTTTATACCATTTATATTATTCCTATGTGTTTGGGGAAAAATATAATTATTATTTTCACAATTAAAACGAGCCTATACGATAAAAAAACATTGTGGTTACATTTGAGCAATCAATCTATGCAGACTAAGGTTTCTTAAACGGGACCGTTTTTCTAACTAAAATTCAAACATATTTAATCATAAATGAAAGATAAAAACGTACGTGCTTCTGAGCTGATTCATTGCCATGAGAGTGAGTTTCAAACATTTGATCTGATAGGTTAGACATGGTTAGTTATCATGAAAAATATGTGCGTAATGTAAAAACAAGATATCCTGTTATATATTCTATCGAATATTTCCTTAATTGATGATTGCTAATAAAAAAAAATAGCTATATTTTCCTATCATTTAAAAGAGTTATCACAAATAAATAACTGCCTAGACAGTCAACTGTAAACGACAACATTCTTTGTTTTTGCTGGTTGAACCAGACATACAGTCGACGTCAAAATTGATCATATGATGAAGAAAAAAGTAATTTTGTATATTTTGTGATAAGGAAAGCAAATAGAAACATTCTGATTTTGCCATCCGTTAGAGTCATATGGGACGTGTGTTGGCTATTAGTGAAAGGTTATAACTCTAACCCCTGTTTAAGTTTTCAAAGAGTTTTTTAAATTCATTAATTATAATTGTTCATGTTTAGTATATATGCTGAAAATTTGAACTCAAACGGGCAAAGTTTCGATGTGGTGCGGTGCGCAATGGTCTATTTTCTTGGGGTTGTTGACAAAATGCTGATAACTTTTGAGGGAAACATCATGGAGAAATGGGCGACGTCTCGTATTGTAGAGAAGTCTTTGCTTCATAAGGCTAGCTGTTCAAAAATAATTTACAAGTACTGAGTAGGAGATAAAAAAGATAAAATGTTTTTCCGCGGTAGAGTGACAGACTTTAGAAATTTCATATTCCATCAAGGGAAGGTCGCGGAGAGCTGAAAGTGGTTTCAGATTGTAGAAGTTACTTGACTCTATTAGACAGCATATTTAACTCAAAAGTCGTTTTTTTATAAAATGAGGGAGGTGGCTGGCCTTAGACTTCCAAGCGACTTATTTGAGCTCGAATACATTTAAATTGGTACATTTTCACCATTTAGATGTTTTGCTCTAAAGATTGAAACAAAAAAACTTTTTTTCGCTTTTCTTCTTCTAGGGCTAAGGTTCAAATTTTCAGTCAAAAACCGAAGTATTTTTTAAACGGATACGATGTGTGTCATTCGACACAATCGACATTATTATGTAGATCCCATACCGCATTGGTTTTAACATAAAAAATTATCTTCATATCACAATGATATTCAGCAAAACCTACTTGATTATTCTTATTTCTCAATCTTACGAGGAACATGTTCAAGTGTCATTCTGGAATTGTGGCGAAACATATCGCCATCATATATTAGTAAAGTAAAATGTATTGATCGCGAAAATAATGTTTTTAGCTTCCATAGCAGGGCAATTTTCATTTTTTTTGCTAAAAAAATTCTCAATTTTCATTCGATCATATTGTTTGACCAAGTCCGGTAATCTTTTAGATTCTTTTGATGAGGGTAGTTTATATTTTAATTTGCTGAGCCCTGGATAGATATTTGATTTTTCGAAAATAAGGGTACGTTCCATGTCCGTCTTCCGAACAAAATTTTCTATTTCATGTGAAACAGTAGGTGTTGTTATTTCGCTTTTCACTTTTCTCTGCTCATTTGTGTTAAAAGTTGAATAGATCGGACTCGAAATACAAAAGTTCAAGTTCGAGTCCTTCAAAAAAATCTTCCAGTCCGGACTCGGACTTGCCCATCCCTGAAAAAAGGTAACAACAATGTTTATCATCGTTTATCAACTTGTTTTCAACATCATTGTTTCAACAATATGTTAAATGTCGAATATTGTCTTAACACTAATAACGAAAAAAAATTTCGCTAATGGAGAATTATCAAATACAAATGTGAAAAACCTTGAAATAACACACAAAACGATTGTTACCGAATGAAAATTTATTTGTGGACATTTGAAAGAATATCAATCGTTGAACGAAAATGATGTGAATAAACTGTAAAATATCCAAATGCATTACTCCATGACAAAAATGAAATAATGAACATGATGACTTATCAATAATTGTTAATCTTTATTTTTGTATAATTACGCTTGCACTATGTTCGGAAAATGATATAAAATATTAGTATTTCGGTGTACATTATCAATTGAAAAAAGTCCCTTTCGTTTCAAACTCAATCAACCACAAGGTTTCCCCAACTGTACAATTAGTTGTTCCTAAATTCATAGACGAAATCAATAGTCTCAACAGGTATTTATGCACATTGTGAAAGTTATTCATGTAGAAGAGAAACTGTTGTTAATCAAGAATATATTTTCTATTTAATTTATTTTAGATGAAAGATGAGAAAAAAAACACAAGGAAAACTGTCTAGGACTACTAACACAGCTACAATTACTTTCAAACGGGGACGCTGGAAAAAGGGCAAAAATAATCAGCTTATTTTTCCATCTGTTCGAACTATTCAAAGTACCTGTGCCATAGAAAAAAAAAAGAAATCACCTAAAAGGACGCATTTGTTGGTTAGAAAACTGTCACAGATAGAATGCATTTTAAAACGCGAATAATAACATGAACGCCATCATAAGACAAAATAGACCCATGGCTTCGGATAATGCAAAACCCAATATGGCATAGGAAAATAATTGTTGTTTCAAACTTGGATTTCTAGCATAGCCAACAACCAATGAACCAAATACTGTTCCAATACCTAAATGAGAAAAATAAAAACTACAAAACATTTTCTAAATAAAAATGGATAAATAAAGTTTACCAGCTCCAGCGCCTGCTACTCCAACCGTGGCGGCTCCAGCGCCAATATATTTTGCCGCACTATCAATATCATATTTAATTGCTGATGTTTGAATTGAACGTTGAGGTGTTAATGCAGTTATTGTTGGTAGTTGATTAAGAAATAAATTATTCTTCGTAATCATCATTTGTGATAGACGACATAAAGCAGATGATGACACAAGTGAAAAGCGTGTTATTGCTGACATGACTTACTCCTGCTTAACACGAAGAAAAAATCTGAAAGTTTGAGAAAAGAAAACGAAAGTGATAAACCGAACATATTTCATGAGCCTTAATTTAATATTTCGAATACGTGATAAAAACAAGTTTATGTTTCTAAAACAGGGTTTTTTAAGATAGTTGATTTCTAATTGCGAATGAATTGTCTCAACTGAATAAAATACTCTACCACTAGTTAAAATCATCAGTAATCTTATTGAGACTGTTTATCATCAAACTCACAAGAGTAAGCTGGTAATCTTTTCTTGTTGTCTAAAACTGAGAAAAGTCAGAACATGTATTCTATTCGTTCTGTTTACGCTAGAAGAAAGACTTCACAATTAACGCAGGTTTTTGACGCTGATGTTTGTTAGAATGCAATGATTTGCTTCTAGCGTTTAGTTTAAAGATATGCTAAGCGTAAAGGCCAACATCAACATGAAATTATATTGCTCTTGAGGTTGTGCGGAGATCGTGTCCGAATGGACTAGATCAATGTAAGTTAAGTTGTTGTGGAATGACCTATTAAAATTATCTACCATAAGAATAGTGATATCTATCATTGGTCAGGAACCTTCATGACAGAGGCTACGCTGACAACAAAATTCAGTCTCAGTCACGCAGAAACTATTACTTCGAGCGACTACATATGAAAGAAATTTAATTTTGATCGCACGCAGACTTAGTTCCAGTGGTCTGTCGTAGATGACGTTAAGTTACGATCGTATGGTTTATAGCACGACAAAATAAAACTGTAAAGGAAGTAGAAGAATTTGAGAACAATAATTTAGGATGCTTGTGAAACAGTTAAGGAAGCAACCTAATTTTGGGTCATCATAAGATCCCAGAGTTTGGTGATTGCGCCAGCCCTAGTTGTCATGAAAAAAATTAAAAATCTATTTGTAAATTGTGAAGTAATTGCAGCGGAAAGTTATATAACTAGAACAACCCTATTTACTATTTAAAAAATCGCACGCATTTTATAAAAATAGTCAAAATATTCTATAAATAGTATAACCTAAAACTATCGTCAATCGAACATGATTTCATTTAGACAATCCATACTATACTAAACATCGCATAAAAATCGGCAATTAATCGTGAAAAATCATACTATTAATCGTGCGCTTAATCGCGATTAATTGACGATTTTTTTGTTAGTACTACTTACTTTTTCTGGTTTTTTATTGTTTATATACTGGAAAATATTATAGATCCACTGTATTTTCGAAATTTTTCGATGAAGTCGAACAGCTAGGTCAATTCTGAATAGTGGTTAGCCTTTGAAGTTCTCTATCAAAAGCAGTATGAGTCAAAATTTCGGAAAAAGGTTTTGAAGGAAGTTTTCTGGAAAATCGCTCCAGCGGAGCTCTAAGTCCTAAAGAATATTGTTAAAAATATTTTCAATGTAGCCGTCTAAAAGAGCATAAAATTCTGAAAAAAATGAAGGGTTGCACAGCTCTCCACGATCTTTAGTTGCAAGGTTACAAGCATAAAAAAATCCAAAGATATGCGCTTCTTCTAGTTTTTTAGGCGATTTTCAGCGTTTTTTTCGTAAATTATACTATGTCTTTGGATTTTTTAATGCTTGTAACTTTACAACGAAAGATCGTGGAGAGCTTTACGATTCTTCATTTTTTTGTTGTTCGATTGTTGCGATGTAACCAAGATCCTGTCTTCTTGAATTTTTGCAGTATACTGGATCTTATAAGATCTTGATACAAGATCTTGGTAAGAAAATGTAAGAATTCGAGAAATTTCAAGAAGTCAAGATCTTGAACATCTTGTAATTTCTTCACTTCGTGTACCAAGATCTTGGAAATTCTTGAATCATCGTTTTGTTTTACACTCTTGTGTAAAATATAAGTGTGAATATTTACACACTTAGAATAACTTAGAATTTTTTTCCTTCTTAAACGTAGTTGTTTAAGGAAGAATCTATGACTCTATGTGATCGTATATCCAATGGCTCTGGCTGTCATAAATAAAAACAAAATGTAAAGAAAATTTTTCAATTAAGATCTTGAAATTTCTGCTCCAAAGATCCTAAGTAAAAGATTCAAAAATCCAAGACCTTGACTTCCTGGTGTTTTTTCCAAGATCTCTTGATATTTCTTAACTCAGGATCTTGTGCAAGACCTTTGGTACAAGAAGTTTCACTAGAGAACGCATTAACGAGCCATGTTTTCACTGTTTTCAAAATACGCTCGCTGTAGACCGTGAACTAGCAATGTATGATCAAACTAAAGAACGGACAGCGCGAAATACTCATTTTTCGGATCGTTAATCGAACGATCTAAAAACAAGCAGGAAATGAGACCGTTTTTACGCTGTTTCACGCCATTTCAATACTCATTTTAAGAACGTTCTATAAATATCAATGAACTGGTTATTTACTGTCAGTCTTTCTGGACTTGGGCTCGTGGAAGAATTTTAACTCTCCAATGTTCGGGGCCAGCGGTACCCCAGACCTACAAGCACTGGGTAAATTCACAGATTTAATGTTTAAAAATGATACATACATACGAATTCATCAATAAAATATCTTCGACATTGAGTGTGATGATGAGAATTCCAAAGAAATGCAGCGAAAATTCAGTGATTCGTCTATGGACATTATTCTACCTAATGGTAGCACACTGAGTTAGAACAATGTGAATCAATCCATTGATGTGGCTGACGATGGAGGGTTTACAGAGATAGGTGGAAGTCATTGATAGTGGAAGTAAAATTCAACGAAATAGAAGTATTAATAAAACTAAAACAACAACAGTGAAGAATCAGTTAATCTAAAGAATCGTAATGATGATGCCATCATGAATAAAACGTTAAAATTTGCTAATTATCCACCTGTAGGATTAAAATTTGAATTAGCTGAACGATCAGAAAAAGATCTTGCTTAAAGTGAGCGGATCATCTATTCAAATCAAAATTACAGATATCATTTTTTCGTTATTCGAACAGTGGTGTTTTCCTTCTATTTGCTGGCTCCCTTGATGTGCATTTGCTGATGAATGATCAATCTAAATGTTCTGATATAAATTTAAAGAACAAAAATACACTGTTGAATTTTCAGACTCAACTGTCTGTCATTCTTTATCTGTTGGAGCACACAACCAACTGCGATAAGTTGAAGGCTGAATTAATTAAATTACATCCACCAGCAGAACAGTATCACCTCTTCATTCAAACACAAATTCGAAATTTCTCAATGTTCAAATTTGAATTACCGGATAAACAACAGTTTGATGATTTATTTGAGAAATTATACGTTATTATTCGAACTCGTCGCTATAATATTGGAGAATATTTACTTAATTCCAAACGCTTAATAGAGGATATGTAATAAATTGCTATAACCTCAAATAAACATTTTGCTTAGCTTTAAAACGTAACCTCTGGCGCGTTGTTCTTAAAAGCACTATTTTAATTTCACGTGTCCTCTGCACCATGCAGTGCTCTTTCGATAGTTTGCTTAAATATTTTGTTTTGTATTTATTCAATGAGAAGAGAAAATTATCAAATGGGTTCTAGACGCTCCTGCGATGATCATTCTACTCAGTCTTCCAATTATGACTTTGACGAAGAGTATAATTACAGGACAGCACAGAGCGCTTCTCAATTATCTTTAACGACAAAATATTCTAATTCACTGGATAGTCAAAGTCGAGTACTGACAAGATCAGTCGGAAAAAAAGAGCGAAAAAAGAAAAAGTCATCTTCACTATCACTGGATAAAGAAAACACGAATGCTTTAAAACTGATTAAAAAATTTTCAGATGAGAATTCAGCAATAATAGTACGGAAAAAATTGAATGAACTTACTAAACACCACCAATCTGAAGAGCGAATACTATATTCCAATTATGAATTCACACATACAAACAGAAGATTAATTGATCAAGACGCTTACAGAAAAAACGGTTTCAGTGAAGAAATTTCAGAGGATATTAGTGACACCGACCTAAATAAAAACGTCGAACGACATATATCAATTGAGAATTTGACACAACAAATTCCAGCCGCACTACCTTTGGTGCCAACATCAAAACAGTTATCATACGAAAGACCGCCAGTGTTACAAAAATATTTGGAACATGGAAGTGCCACTACTTCTCTCATTCCTTTCTCGATCAACCCTGCTATTTTTCTTTCATCTCAAACACCCAAAGCCTTTATGCCTACACGGTACAGTACACCAGTTGAAAATCATACTCTAGTCGATGAATTTGAATTACGTTGGCGATCGCCGAGGAAATCCGAAGATTATATTAATTTAAATAAATTTGAACTTGTGAAGACACTCGGTGCTGGCTCATTCGGCCGTGTTTTACTCGTTATCTTGGAACCGATGAAATCTGAATATGCTCTAAAAGTATTGGACAAAGTAAAAATTGTCAAGAATAAACAAATTGAACAGTTGAGAAGTGAAATTAGAATTCTCTTCGCTATCAGTCATCCATTGTGTGTCGCGTTGTACAGTTTATTCAAGGATAATTCGTATATCTATTTATTAATGGAGTATGTAAGAGGTGGAGATTTATTTTATTATATCAGAAAAAGCCTAAGTTTCCCAGAAAATGTGGTGAAATTTTTTGCAGCGCAGATCTTTCTCGTATTTGAATATTTACATTATTTTTCAATTGTTTACCGTGATTTGAAACCAGAAAATATTTTGATGAATCAGAACGGCTATTTGAAGGTAATTGAAGGTTAGACTTGTGATTCTTTTTTAGTCTCTCGTATAAACATATTGTTAATAACATGCGATGCTCTCTCAATAGTTGTAAAGTTAATTATGAACTATCTTGTTTTCGCATTTTAGCTAACCGATTTTGGATTTGCTAAAAGAATTCAAACCCGAACATATACACTATGCGGCACACCCGATTATTTTTGTCCAGAAATCATTAAATCCAAAGGGTATTTGTTGAGTATAGTATTTTCTCTTTATATTTTGAGTGAACTGATCATTCAGCCGTTTAGTCATGGCAAAGGAGTAGACTGGTGGACCTTGGGCATATTAATCTACGAAATGTGTAGCGGTAATCCTCCGTTCAAAGGTGAGTGTTTTTCTTGGCCTCCATCATTAATTTTATATTATTTACGTTTTTAAAAGGACAAAATGAAGTAGCATTATATGAATCGGTATGTCGAAAGAAACCTGTCATACTTTCAAGTTTTAGTTCAACGTTAAAAGATATCATTCTTCAATTACTTCAAAAAGATCCAACACAGCGTCTAGGATGTTTGGCTCGTGGGACATTAGATGTTAAAGAACATGGGTGGTTCTCTAAAGTAGATTTTGTATCGATTTACACACAACAAATGAGCTCACCGTTCAAAAAAAATGTTATTGTTAAATCTATTAGTGAACATCGTCGTCGAGCACGTAGTACAAAAGAAAAGCCATTGGTGATATCGCACAAAGATACGTATGCAGATGATTTTAAAGACTTTTGAATGAAATAAGGTACGTATTAAATTTTTCATAAAGTTTTGAAAATGTTGTTAAAAGTAACATATTAAAGCCGCAGCTTTGTTGTTTTCAATTAATCCTAAAATCTTTTGAAGATTACATAACTTTTCCTATTTCCAATGTTAATCCTAATGATTTTATGTATGTTAAATAAGTATGACGTGATTGATGAATTAAAATTATCATGTTCACACGAATGTTTCGAGGTGACTGAGTGCGGATTTAAATGATAAATACATGTTCGGATAAAGACAGCGATGGCATATTTTTAAAAGACTGATACACCGATACATTCACAACGTTGATACTTTCAGGACTGATACACTTTTTATAACATTTGTACCTAGCCGTAAAGGCTTTTGACCAAATTGACTGTCATATGACCGTAAATCTTTTTCTAAAAAAGGAAAGGACTCTTTCTTCTTGAGCATTCTGTATCAAGACCTGGAAAACTTGTTGTTCTCTTTGCCACAGTTTATGTTTCCCAGTTATCCCAAAAATTATCAAGTTCATTCTATGAACATAACGTTCGTCTGAACAGCTCAGCTTTTCCCCAAACGGTACCGTAAAAGCAGTTCTGTTGCTACATGACAAAAGTCGAAAAAATACTTGACTGTTTTCCCCTATCCTTTTCTTAAGCCAAAGTGAACGGTGTCGTCGATACGATGAATGATTTGACTGATAAATTTACGCAGAAATATTTTGAACTGAAAGACGAAACAGCGAAAGCACAAGGAAAACATCAATTGTTAACTACAGATAT